ATTTTGTGTCTCGTGATGTTGCTAGAGAAAAAATTTCGTAGATAACTAAACATTATCTATAGAAAAAATTTCGTAGGTAATATTCCATAGATAACTAAACATTATCTACAGAAAAAATTTCATAGGTAATATTTCGTAGATAACTAAACATTATCTACAAAAAAAAAAATTGTAAGTAATATTTTATAGATAACTAAACATTATCTACGAAAAAAATTTCATAGGTAATATTCCGTAGATAACTAAATATTATCTACGAAAAAAATTCCATAAGTAATATTCCGTAGATAACTAAATATTATTTACGGAAAAAATTCCGTAAATAATATTCCTTAAATAATAATATTTATTAATACTATTTATTTCACTTTATTATATCTTTTATTAATTACACTTAATATTTTATATTTATAGAAATTATAATTACAATAATAAGGTTTCAACTTAAAATCTTGTTTATGTCACTTCAACCTCTCAGTGTTGATATTAATGGCTTATATTAATATTCTAATTTAGTTTCGTATATTTGGATTTAATTGAACGTCGATTTTAATCTTGGTTGAATTCCATATTTCAATGTTTTTATTTATATTTTTTTCTCTTTGTTTAGGTTATAATTTTGGCTCTAAATTGTGATCGAGGGGATCATGGTGTCTATGAAAGCATAAAAAAGAATATTTTCATGAAGAAGTCATGTCCTAATTCGGTTTAGATCATGGAAAAATTTGAACTTAAAATGGAAGACATTGACCTAGTCACTGGTGCGATATTTTGAAGATATATTTAAGTTGCAGGGTTGAAATGACATAAGATTGACGCAAAATAATATTCGCATTATCACAGGGAGAGTTGAGTGCAAAAAGTACCAGCAAGAATTTGAGATGAGTCTTGATCTACAGGAGAAAGTGTCTAAATTACGAGAATTCATTGAGAGAGAAAGTGAGACCTTGTAATATGGGATCATAGACACAGGTGCTTCTAGCCACATGACAGGAAACTTGAGTTTATTATGTGGGCTGAGAGACGTAGTTGAGTGTCCAGTGAGACTTCCAGATCGAAAACAACTAATGGAAAATAAAGAAGGGACAGTGACACTTGATGGAGGATTGAAAGTGGAAAATGTGCTTTATGTGCCAACATTGAGTTGCAACTTGTTGTCTATTTCTCAATTGATAAATGAAACAAATTGTGTTGTCTATTTCACTAACAACTTATGTGTTATGCAGGATTGCACTTCGAAGATGGTGATTGGAGTGAGTGAACAACGAGATGAGCTTTACTTCTTTAAAGGAATCCGAAGTGAGAAAGTAAATAAAGCTAATGGAACTTGCGAACTTAATCTGTGGCATCAACGCATGGGGCACCCTTCTTTCAAGGTCACTAAATTAGCTTCCAACATGAGGTGTGATAGCGGTAATTTGAAGAACAAACCATGTGATGTATGTTTACGGGCTAAGCAAGCTAGAGATGTCTTTCCATCAAGGACAAATAATGCTGGTGGTAGTTTTGAATTAATACACTGTGATTTGTAGGGGTCCTATATCTTCTTGTGGTGCTTCATATTTTTTTGACAATAATGGATGATTTTTCTCGTGCTATTTGGATTTATTTGATTTCTGATAAAAGGGAAGTGTCACGTACATTGCTGAATTTCTTTGCATTAATAGAAAGACAATTTGGTAAACAGATTAAAGTGCTACGTAGCGATAATGGTACTGAATTTACTTGTTTGAGAAACTACTTTCATGAACATGGGATAGTATTTCAAACATCTTGTCCAGGAATCCCACAACAAAACGGAAGAGTAGAAAGAAAGCATAGACACATTCTTAATGTTGCTCGTGCTCTACGATTTCAAGGTAATCTCCCTATTTCTTTTTGGGGGTGAGTGTGTCTTAACAGCTGGATACTTGATTAATCGTACCCCCACTCCAGTGTTGTCTAGAAAAACACCATATGAGATGTTGCATGGTCTAGCCCCCATATATGATCATTTAAAAGTTTTTGGTTGTTTATGCTACACACACAACTTGGATAGACATGGTGATAAGTTTGCTAGTCGAAGTCGAAAGTGTATCTTTGTGGGTTACCCTTATTTATGGGAAGAAGGGTTGGAAATTATTTGATTTAGATACTCAATGCTATTTTGTGTCTCGTGATGTTGAGTTCTTTGAAACAGAGTTTCCTTTCACACATACAGCTGGGGTCAAATATGATTTATCTGTGGATTAATCGTTAATGAACGATGCATTGAATAATGATGATGTTAATGATTTGGATAATGACACAAGGATGGGAGAAAATACACTCATTGAGGTAGTTGCAAGTTCTAAAGTGAGGGGGGAACTGTTGCCTTAGACAGTGAGAGAAGTGATGAGCTCATAGAAAAAGGAAATAATCCAACTCCTAATGTTAACTCACTAGAGCTTGTTTGTCAAAGTAGTTTGGAGGAACTAGGAAGAGGTCATCGTACCAAATTTCCTTCCATGAAGCTACGTGAGTATGTAACTCACACCATAAAGAAGTTAAGTCCATCTCCAAGTCAATCCACTTCACAGTATTCTTCTGGTACTCCCTATCCTATATCTCACTATATAAGTTGTGAAAACTTCTCTGAAAAGCATTGCAGGTTTGTTGTTGCTATTCATTATGCTGAAGTAGTGCAAGATGCCAAATGGAGGCTTGCAATGCAGCAAGAAATTTATGCACTAGAAACTAATGGAACATGGTCTCTAGAAACTCTACCGGATGGGAAGAAACCTCTTGGTTGTAAATGGGTATACAAGATCAAGCATAATTCAGATGGCACGATAGAGCGATACAAGGCGAGGCTGGTTATTCTCGGGAATCATCAAAAAGAAGGGGTTGACTATACTGAGACATTTGCCCCTGTTGTCAAAATGGTTACGGTTCGCCTTGTTCTTGCTGTTGCAGCGACAAAGAAGTGGGAATTGCATCAAATGGACGTCCACAATGCTTTCCTTCATGGTGATTTACATGAAGATGTCTACATGAAGCTTCCTCCAGGCTTTCATGCTTCTCAACCGAACCATGTTTGTAAATTGAAAAAGTCTTTATACGGTTTGAAGCAAGCCCCTCGTTGTTGGTTTGCCAAATTATCATCTGCTTTGATAAACTTTGGATTCCGTCAATCAGGTTGTGACCACTCACTCTTTACTCTTCTTGCCCATGGAGTGCAAATGATGGTTCTGGTATATGTAGATGATTTAATCATATGTGGGAACGATTCCGCTGCAATTCAACGCTTTAAAGAATATCTTAGCAAGTGCTTTCACATGAAAGACTTGGGACATTTAAAATATTTTTTGGGAGTAGAAGTTGCAAGGAATTCAAGTGGGATATTTTTGTGTCAGCGTAAATATGCATTAGACATCATTCAAGAAGTAGGCCTACTTGGTGCACAGCCCGTGGCTACACCTCTTGAGTAGAATCGTCAACTTGGACTAGCCACTGGACGGATCAACCTAACAAGTATCGATGCCTTATTGGGCGCCTCATATACTTGTGTTTCACCAGACCGGAATTGTCCTACTGTGTCCATACCT